TCCTAGAGTTTAAGTGATTTCTTATTAGCTTTAAAATAAAATTTAAAACACTAACCCTGCCCCCACGCATGGCCCCATTCTCAGAGATAAGTGTATCTCCATCCATAAACTCTCTTTTTAAGATCATGCATCCGTCCACTTTTCATTCTCCTCATGGCCACCTCCATAGTTCAAGTCAACATCTTCTCCCATATGGAGTAATAAAAATAACCTTCTCATTCGCCTTCCTGCTTTCCCTTTTGCCCTCTGAACAGCAGCCTGAGTCACATCAGGACTCCCTTCTGCTTAAATCTTTCGGTGGCTTCTCACTGAATTGAGGATATTGTCATGACCTACCAAGTCCTACATTCGCTGGCCCCTGTTCATCTTGCTAACCTCGCTTCTTCTTTGCCATGCTGTGCCCTCTGCCTGAACTCATCTTTGCACTCTTCTTTCCCTGGCTGATTTCTTTTCATCCTTTAGGCTTCCGCTTAACTGTCACCTGCTCTGAGAGCTCTTGAATCAGTCTGCTTTAGAGCACCTGCCACTCCCTGCTCTGGCTCCACTACCTACTCTTGATCAGGTACATGAACTTCTTGTAGAGCATTTACTGCCGTTGATAATGGTCTTGTTTTTAAGTGCACTGACTGATTGTTGGGTCTCCTCAACCCCAATGTGAGCTCCGGAGGGAGCCTGTCCACCTTGTCTTTCTAGTCTGTCTGAATTAAAGAATAAACCAACAAATAAAAACTGAGGTGGGAAAACGACTAAAATGAAGCTTCCTAATATAACACCATGTATAACATCTTGGCCATTTTTTTAAACTCCTTTTTCTTCACAGCATCAACTAGGACTGCTTATGAACTACCAGCCTGCTGCCTAGATATTCATTTCATTTCAATAGTCAACATTTAGATGCCTCTCTCTTTGTTGTATTAGTCACCAAGGCCTGTTGATTCCCGCATCTAATTATTTCAACCTTTTGTCCTAATCTCATCTTTCAACATCAACTCCAATCCTCCCAGTCAATACTCTCACTCCCCTTCTGTGGATCACAGAAATGGTCTCCTAACTGTTCCCTCACCGTCAGTCTCCACGTATCCTCTTCCTGACAGATGCATCTTCTAATGTCACTTTTAACCTGTCACTTCGCTTTCCAAAAAAATCCATGTTCTCAGTACAGTAGGTCCAAAATTCTCAAAAACCAAATTATATTCAACTGTATTCTTCCCATGTGAATCAGTCAATAATATTTCCCATTACTCCTCTAAACAATTCCTCTGATCTACTCAAATACTTACTTTTCTGTCCTTGAGATAAGTCAGGCTCATTCTCCCTTGGTGTTTTTGCTTAGCTATCTCACAGACAGGGAGGCTTTTTCCCCTCCATCAATCTAAACCGAAACATTTTCTTCAAAGCACAGTTCAAATCCAACTTCTCTAATTAAGCTTTTCCTCCCCGTTCCAGCTCACAAGTTCTTTCCTTTTTCTCAATTCTTATAGCACTGAAACCACTGTTCCATGTAATATTTGATTATACAAGACCTATTTTTGTTATTATTCCATTATTTCCTAATTGTAAATTTTATCTCCCAAATTTGATTGCAAACAAGGATTGTGTTTTTATTTCCTTTTATACTCCCAGCAGTGGCAAAAGTAGCATAGATCCAATAGGAGCTACTACGTTGACTTAATGATTTACATGGTTCTAAAGATGAATCCCTTCAACTACAAACAACAATTTTAGATGACCTGTAACTCCTAAATAGACCATATTCTCTCTTACCCCTAATCTTTCCCACATGAACTCCTGATGCCTGGAATGCTCCCATTCTACCTTTATTCATCTGGGAAATTCCTAATTCTTTTTCCAATCTCAAATAGGACATTTATCAAGGAAAGGGAAGTATTCCTTGCTCCCTTTTTACTTACCCACCTACCCCAGTATCTATGTACAGTGTCACTCCTATACATTCCCACTGAATGCTCTTAAGCCATAGCACCTGGCATGCTATATTGTAAATGAGTATCTGCCCACAGGCCTCCCTGACTGGTCTGTGTGCCACCCAGGCTCAAGTAATTTATCTTTTATCCTTATAGTAGCAGACTGATCATATTTTATTATTTTTTGAATAAGTAAATGAACAAACAAAAAAGTTAGTAACGAAGCCTGTTTAAAGAGCTAAGAATTTAGTGTAATGTTATCAATTTAGTGTTATGTAATTTCCAACGAGGTACAGTTCATATCATTTAGAATCCCCATTTGTTTTTAATTCCAAAAATAATTATTAAGCACCCACTATGTGTCAGGCACTGGGGATACAGAAAAGACTCAAACACATAAAAATCCCAGAACTTGCATCTTATTAGGTGCGATAAGCAGTGGGGTATGGTGTTTGCTCTGAATGAGCTGGAATCCAGAGAATATTTCTGAGCAGAAGGTTTCTTTCTACATGGATGCTGGCACTGAGATGATGCTGGCTTGGACCAAAATGGTGGCAGTTTGAATGGTGAGCAGTAGTTAAATTATAGATCTACTTTAAAGGCAGAGCCAACAGGACTCACTGATGAACTGGAAGCAAGGAATAAGAGAAAAAGAATAGTCAGGAATGGATGTTAGTCTGTGCAACTGTGAAATGGAATTTGTGAAGGGCTTGGAAGGGTATGATTTTGAAAACAGTGTGTAGATATATGAAGAGATTCTCTAAAATTAGTTCTTAAATTTTAATATTCTATTTTGTATAACTGAACTTCTCTTGGGCATATTTCTAATGAATAATAAGGGTCACTTTGGCTTCTTAGACAAATTGTTAACACTGAGTAGAAAAATCTGGGACAGTTCAGCCAATGCAGCTCCATGAAGCACTGCCTGTATCAGGCACCCTACAAGAGCAACTGCAACTTTTTCTCCCAGACTGTCTCAAGTTCTATTTTTTAAACAACTAATACAGTGTAGCTTAGTGCTAGAGGTTACAATTTCTATGATTTCTATAAACCACTTCAAAGATCATACAATTATTATCATTAACAATATTAATAATTACACTTTGAATTTTATTAAATAATGACTTGGATATCTCTCAAATGGAGACTTATGAAAGAGGCCAAAATTTTTACCTTGCCCTAGACCATAATCTAGTCCAAGGTCTGAGGAGATGGCCTTGACCTAGAAGTAGAAGACCATGGAGTAAATGTCGGTGACCTAGAATGACTTAATCCACCTAAGACTGAGATAGAACAGTAAGAGATTTGGGCTGTCAGGCAGCTACCTAAACAACCTAAATAATCAGCTACTGTGCTTAATGGCTATAATTTGGGGGTAAGGCTGGTAATAATGGTTTATTTTTTTCATGTGTTAAAGTATATGTCTGCAAAACTTACTGAATTTTGGATTCAAAAAATGAGACTGTTTATAAACACAGGATGCAACACTAAGTCTGTATAATGACTAAGTCTCTTGGAGAATAATTTAGTGGTGGTCATGATGAGTTATAACGTGGACATTTGAGTTTTCATTGGGCAGAAACAAACCATTCTCACTCAGTCTGTGAGCTTTTTTTTCCTTCCAGACTCTAAGTAGTTTACACAATAAACAGTTATTTCCATAGTAGAAATGGCCAAGATGTCTAAGCTCCAAAGTTAACCTGTTATTATGGTTAAATATCAAGGTTGCCATTCTTCCAGATTTTCGCAGCCACACAACTTTTGACCTAGCTGATGGAGATGTAAGAGTAAACATAGCTCTTTGACTTCTTAACAAAGGCAAAAATCAACATGCTAAGGTATTTATTTCACTGGCAAGTGTTCCAGCACAAAGAGGCATTACAGTGGATTCACATAATGACAGGACACTACAAATTCCTCTCAAAGGAAAATTCTAAGCAAGAGTTCATCCATAAATTGTCCATGTTCACTTATTTAGGACTTGGATATAAGGTACTCATTTGAAAACTGTATACACTTCATAATCTATCAATGACATCAAAGAATAAAATTAAAACTTTCAGAATCGTAATTCACACACCCAAATCAGAGGTCAAGCCCATGAGAGGAAATCTCATCACAAGCATGTGTGGAAGGGGAGAATTCCCTTTGCACACATACTTTGTTCATAATTGTGATGAGTCAATTTCCTTCTCTTTATTGAAAATTATGCTTTAAACCCACCTCCTTCCATGAAACAAGCAGCTGTAATTCCTCCCAATCCTCACGGCATGGCAAGCATGGCTTTCACTATGGGGTCTGCATTTATATCCTCTGGATATTTCTTGGGCACTGAAGGACTAACTAACAGAAGAGAAGTCATCTACTTGTACCCATTCTGCTGCCTAGTGGGTGCTGAGTGGATGCACAGTCAATCCCCAAAAAAGAGACCATGTTCCACTGTGACCCTTTTTAGCAGTATGACATACAACACGATTAAAAGATAAAAGGTCAAGGGCTTAAACTTTCATTTTTTTGTAATCTTAATATTTCAGTGTTAATTTTTTATACATTTGTGTTATTAGAAAACCATAATGCATGAAAAAGGCCTGAAATAATCATAATAGACAAGTATATAAGAATAGGAACAATCTGTTCAAATGTAGAGTTAAATTTTACAAGTTGAAGAATGTGATATCAAATAAGAACTTCATGAAAAGAATGTCAAAATTGTACTCAACTCGTTTCTTTCTGTACTAAAGAATCAAAGATGCAGGAAAATTTTAAACTACTTGTCCCCCCCAAAAAAATCACCATTTCAAGCTATTTCCTGATGTTCTTATCCTTTAGTCAAATGACTCAAATGAACTGCTCTCGAGTTTCATATGGATTTTAAACAACTCAGTATTCTGAAACAATAACTCATTTCCATCATTCCTTTGTTCAAACCTTTAAACTCTCTTTTCAAAATCAATTTACTGAAATCTAGTTTTCTACCTTAAGTAGACCATTTTGACCAACTGTAAAAAAAATTCAAACAAGTGAATTTTAGCTCACAAGCTGTACCAAAATTAAAAAACAAAATAAGTTGTCTCCTACCTATGGTTGTAATAACAGTGCCAGCAAAGAAGAAGGAACTTCCCAAATCCCAGTGACTGATTTGATTGGAGGTGTTTCCTAAAGGTATAATCCCTGCATTTATTGCTGCCACTATTTGCTGCAAGTTTAAAAAGAAATTTATCAGTGCACATGAATCACATGGAGGCATCAAACAGTATATATTCCACCCCAGACGACCAATTAGACAAAGAGCATCAATTCTGAGGTTTGCTTTTCCATTTAAAGTATACAATATAGGTTAAAACTTTACACTAGAGAATTCAATACATTAAATTATAAGAAAACTATATTTGATATCGAATGAATGAATCTGCATAAAGCTTATCACATTGTGTTATGATATGCATTCATATCATCATCCAGTACCATATTTAGCAACTTATTTGAATTAACAACTAAATATAGCAATAATTTTTAGGAAGCACCACAGAGTTAAAATATCAGATTGCAAACTACAATTTAAATACTGTATAATAGCTTCATCAGAAAAACGAGTATTTCCAAAGTGCTAGTCATTTTGAATGGTAAGCACAGGTATCCAAGCCTGGGTTGTGTACAGCAGTAGAGAGTATAATATCAGTAAGGTCCAACGAAACAGGCTAAAATGACAAGGAACAGACAACAGCACTTCATCATCAAGCTTGAGTCGGTTCATTTATATCGAGAGTCTTAGAATCTCTACAGAGTTTTAAAAATTCTATGACAATGAGTATCATCAATGACCTGTAGATGACAGTCAACAATATTCATATAGGAACACTAGAATCTGGATGCTGCTTTGAGTAGTACTGGGAGACAGACAGCAAGATGAGATTATAATCCCTTCTCAATCATCAGATGTTAGGGAGGGAAGAGGGAGCTCCAGAAACACAAACATAGAAGAGAATAAGTTAGGAGAAAATGTGTAGTAAAAGAGAGACATATCGATGGTGGCAAAAGACATTTCTGTTGGAAATACAGTTTTTAAATCTTTATCACTTCATTTCCAGATTTTAAAATTGGAAGGACCTTCATTTGATAGGCAAGGAAATGAAAGACCAAGAAAGGTAAAGTGACTTGTTTAAAGTTATCTAGTTTATTAGCAAATGGACAAAAACTACACTGTGAAAATGGAGGCACTCTCTGAAGTTAATGACACGTAAATGACATGTAAGTTAACGACAGCAACTATCTGAAGTTACTGTCAGATGTAAAAGAACAGGTAATCCGGAGCTGAAATGCAATATAAAATCTGTTGTCTGACTCGTCTTAAACTCTAAATTGAAACTTCAATAGTTAATTGAATTGTAATGTTTTTATTTACTTTAACAATGATATATATTCAATATTTTAAAAACTTAGGAAAATACAGCAAGGCATAGAGAGGATAATAAAAATTTTTCATAATTCCAGAATTCAGAGACAACCACTGTTAATGTATTAAGGTATCTACTCCTGGCATTCTGCTACACATTTTACATAACTGGATTTATGAACTATATGAAATGTATTCTCTATTTTTATTTAATCTTATTCTATATGCGGTTTTCCTTGTCATTACCATATTTACTTAATCGTTGCCCAATATGTAGACATAAATGCTGTTCTAAAATTTGTCTTATTATAATAAGTGCTGCTATGAACACATTTGCATATAAATATTTTTTCATTTCTGAATATCTTTGTGGGAGAGATTGCTAGAAATAAATTTGCCACATTGAAGATTACATTTTAAAGCACTTGATGTATAGTAGCGAGGAGCTATCCAAGAAGGTTGTTACAGTTCATAGTTGCCCCCCAGCAATTTACAAATGCTTAGCAATACTATTACCTCTGATATTAATGTCTTATCTTTACTGAACTGATAAGAATTGTTTACATTTACGTATCCTTTAGTGAGTGAAGTTGAACACTAATGTTTCCTTTATCATATATTAAATGCACACGAATACGCATATATACACATATATGCACAACACACAATGAAGCTGGTTTTGAGACAACTGATTATCTGACTCTCTACTGTAAATATAATATCAGATAAGGCAGGTCTCCCTGATTATCCTTCTTTGAAAAATGTTTTTTTGCAGTTACTAACCTATTATTCTTGCATAAAATTAGGAATCATGTAGTTAAATTTTATAGGAATTTTCATTTTCACAGGTTTAATATATTTCTGTTGTTTGGATATATGTGAAATCTATAAATTAATTAAGAAAAATGAGCAATATTATAATAGTGAAACTTCCCATCAAAGAACATGGTGTGAATCTCCATTTACTGAGTCTCCTTTCATATTCTGAAATAGACCATTTTTTGTTATACTCCACATAGGACTGTAAGGTTATTTTTAGATATTTTACTTTTTTTCCATTTTATATTATAACTGGTTATTGCCGTTGTATACACAAGTATATATTGCCCATTCTTTGAGCCAGCAACTTTCAAACTTTTTTATCTCAGAACCGCTTTACGGTCTCAAAAATTATTGTAGACATCAAGGAGCATTGGAATGTGAGTTATAACTATTGATATTTATATTGTTGAATTTCTAACTTTCAAAATGTTTTGATTAATTCATGTAAAAATTACAATAAGCCCATTATATGGTAAAATAAGTTAACATACTTTTATGAAAAATAATTATGTTTTCCGAGGCAAAGATTTAGTGAGAAGAGAGGCATTGTTTTAGAATTTTATAAATCTCTTAAATGCCAGGCTTAAAAGAAAACAGATTCTAATATATGCTTCTGCAACCAATCTGGAAAACAGTATGGTGAGTCCTCAAAAAATTAAACACAGAACTACCATACAATCCAGCAACTCCCCTTCTTGGTATTTATCCAAATAACATGAAAAACATTAATTCAAAAGATATGTACCCCTATGTTCAGAGCGACATTATTTACAATAGCCAAGACATGGAAGCAACCTAGGGATCCATCAATAGATGGATACATATATAATGGAATATTGCTCAGCCATCAAAAAGAATGAAATCTTGCCATTTGTAACATGAATGGACCTAAAGGGTATTATGTTAAGTGAAATACGTCAGACAGAAAAAGACAAAAACCATATGATTTCACTTATATATGAAGTCTAAAAAACAAAACAAACAAAGCAAAACATAAACTCATAGATACAGAGAACAAACTAGTGGTTGTCAGAGGGGAAGGGCAGGCAGCTGGGTGAAATAAATAAAGGAGATTAAGAGTACAAACTTCCTCATCAAATAAACAAGTCACAGGAATGTGATACATGGCAAAAGGAATATAGTCAATAACACTGTAATAATTTTGTATGGTACAGAAGGTTACTAGGTTTATCATGACGATTATTCTGTAATGTATTTAAATGTTGAATCACTATGTTGTATACCTGAAAATAACATAATACTGTATGTCAACTGTACTTTAATTAAAATGTATATTTTATAGACATTTCTTCAACACATTCATTTATTCAAAAAATATTTATCAATTTTTATGGTGCTAGACAACGGGAAAACAACAGATAAGTGAAAACATGGGTGGTATAGATGAGAAAAGATAAGGCATGTCTTTAGAGTCCACCCAATTAAGTAAAATTATTTTATTTAGTAGAAGCAAGCTAATTCCTCCAACAACTGACCTAATAGCCTCCATAGCTAGCATCATCATTTATAGCCTATCCTTTTGCTTGTCAGTGATGAGGTTCAGCATTATCCAGACATTTGGATAAGTTCCACAAATTATTTAAACCCGAAAGAAGCAAATGTAGACTTAGAGACAGTAATGTCTGGCAATGTGTGGGTTGTAAACAGTTATCACAGAGCTGTGATTATTGCAACAGAGGCTTGAGATGGAACCAGGAAAATGTCAAATCACTATGAGAATGAGTGTACCGTGAGGTCCTTTCTCTGGAAGATTCTTGTAAATTTCTATTTTTAAAGAGGATTATTTATCTATCTATCTATCTATTTATTTGGCTGTGTTGGGTCTTTGTTGCTGTGTGCAGGTTTTTCTCTAGTTGCGGAGAGCGGGGGCTACTCTCCATTGTGGTGCGCGGGCTTCTCATTGCGGTGGCTTCTCTTGTTGTGGAGCACGGGCTCTAGGCACACAGGCTTCAGTAGTTGAGGCACGTGGGCTCAGTAGTTGTGGCTCACGGGCTCTAGAGCACAGGCTCAGTAGTTGTGGCACACGGGCTTAGTTGCTCCGCGGCATGTGGGATCTTCCTGGACCAGGGCTTGAACCTGTGTCCCATGCATTGGCAAGCGGATTCTTAACCACTGCATCACCAGGGAAGCCCTATTTTATATTTTTGTACGAGGTCCCCTGGTCAACATCCACAGGAAATTGGATGCCCTTGACAAGTGCACTGACAGATCTAAGAGTCCCTACAATTTCAACGTCAATTCAGGCCATCAGAGCACTTTAAAAATGTCTTCATGAGAACTGTTTCTGTATGTGCCATATTATGTGATTAAAGTAACAATCACTTCATCTGTAATAAAAATTCACTTTTCCACTAACTGTAACTTTTGTGGACAATCAAGTCATGTTCACAATTTATGAATAAGTTGAATTTTTTAGGTTAGGGTAAAGAGAATGTGGGATTCTAGGCATTTAATCCCGAAGTACTGATTAAGGGAGGACTTCCAAATTTAACATACAATAGAAATAGTACAAAATACCCTTGATTGGATTCACACTCAATTTTTGCTTTTCAGTTAATTGAGAATCATAGAATGTGCATTAAGGAAAGGCAATTGCACACACGATTCTAGTCAAGAATAGGAGCTTAAACTTAAGAAACAGAGCTCTGAGAGGCTTATAGTCCTAGAGAGGATAAAGGATAAATTACTCATAAAAGTAATCATAAAAAATCTTGGGTTTTCATGACAATGATGCCTTTAGAATCAAAGTTCACTGAGTTCTAATGTGAATTTCTGTATTCTTGAATTGTAAGAAGTTTCTGTCTCAGTGTCATCTGGTGTTTTGGAGCTATATCGAGCTTTAACACCAAACAACAAGACACACTTATTTGTAATTGTAAGAGACTAGTATACCCTTGGAACTCAAGGCAATCAATGACAATCATGAAAATGTTCCTGTGTGTCCAATGCCTAGGGACAAC